GTGTCCCCTCTCAACTATTTTAATTTGAGAAATATTCTCCAAGTTTGGGGTATATATAATCCGAGCAAAACATGTGGCAAGTTAAGTGGATAGTAAAAAATTATCCACCAAAATTTTTAGTCACTCATATTGCCTAGGGATCCTTGCGTGATTGTAGGCTGTCTAAAAATCACTGCAGATAGCTGATCCCCATCAAACACCGATGATGGAAGTTACACTCTGACGACTTCCAGAAGGTTACAATTTGAAGACTTTCACGCAGACTGATGAAGGTTACAATCTGACGACCTTCGCAACAACTGATGAAAGCTCTAATCAACAGCCTTCACAATCAACATCGAGAGATACAATCTGACGACTCTCACATATCAGAGAGCTAAAGCAAAGATTACAAAATGACGATCTTTGCAACACTTCTACAGAAAGAGACTACAAATCGATGGTGTCTCTTCAAATCAAGACGTGGAAGTCCTCGCCGCGTACCAGCATCAAGACGCACCATGTTCATAGCCAAACGCAGCTCCAATCAGCCGCTGAACGCAGCTTCACCAATCAGCCGCTGAACGCAGCTTCAACAACCAGCCGCAGGCTGCGTCCGAGCTTCCAGACGATGCGTTCAAGCTTCCAGACACTGCGTTTGAACGCAGAATTTACGCCAGAATGCAGATTTTGCGTGTGACTCGTTCAAACACGAGCTGAACAGTTTCAAAACCGTTTCCCACGATCTGAGGGGATCACAACTCCACTTAGGAGTGATTTAAGGGGCGGTTACATCCCATTAGCCCCACTTAGGAGCGAATTAAGGAGGTGGTTACACCCCTTAATCCCCTATAAATAACTGAAAATCAATTCAGTTCAGGGGCTTCGGTTCTGATCCTTCGGCTGGGACTTGGCAACGAAAAGAGGATCCTTCATCCTTCGGTTGGAGCTTTGGAGATCGGCAATAAGATCTTCTTCATCCTTGGCTTCTAACCGACTTTCGGTTAAATCAACTCTTTCATAGAGTTTTAAACTCGTTCAGAGTTCTCCACAACGTCAAATCGTGAGGAGAAAACCACGTTCCAGTGAAATAAGACGTCGGATCGTCAACGAGAAGCAAACTCGACGCGAGCATTCGAGGGAGGCATCTCATCGCCACCGTGAAGAACCCAGATTTAAATAAAGGGGAGAATCCAGATCAATTCTCCTCTATTTTGTAATCAGGAAATCCAATTGTAACTGAGATTAAAGGAATACAAATCAATTTTTTCTTCATTTCTTTTACTTCAAATTTTCCACAAACAAAAGATGGCGACTCTGCTGGGGACAAGCTTCTCTGACGAAGAAGTGGTGGCACAATCCGATATTCATCTCACTGGAACAACCGTCGAAACTCTCGTGGTAGAGTTTGATCAAGCCAAGTTTGAGGAGGCCCTCTCCTCTGGATCCCTTAGCCCCAAGGCTATGCGCAAGATCCACAAAGTTTCCAAAGAGACTAAAACTCCAACTGCTCCAATTCAGCCCCTCCCCCGATGGAGTGGGCTCAGCTTCAGCCAAACCCGCGCCAAGACGACGGGTATCGGGTCGAAAGATGTCCATTGAGGCGACAAACTTGATCAACACAGATGGTGGCGTCGCTGCAAAGGCCTTGAAGCAGGCTAAGAAGAACGCTGCTCGACGGAGGAGGAGATCCCTACAACGAGCGTATCTCCGAGAATGCCGATTCTTAAGTCAACACGAGCTTCGTGTTTATGAGCCTAAACGCGACCCTGTTTCTGTTTCAGAACGCAAGCCTCGCGTCTATGAGCCAAAACATAGGCTCTGTGTGAATAAGATTGAACGCAACCCTAAATGGCGCGTTATAAAATCGAAACGTAAAGCTCAGGCATGCATTACTGAGCCAGAACGCAACCCTCAAGGGAGCGTTACAAAACAAAAACGCAGGTCTCCAGACCGCATTAACCATCCTGAACGCAGTCCTCAGCAAAGCATTCCAGAATCCAAAGGCGGACATCAGACATGCGTTTGGGTAAGGAAACCCAATATAGAACATGGTGTATACAGTGGAGCTTCGGGGCGCTGCCCCGAACCCCGCCGGGGGGTATACCATCCCCCCCGGACCCCCTGGCCAGGGGCGCGCCGCCCCCTGGACCCCGCGAGACCCCCGAATACTCTGCGTAGCGCGACTAGATTGAGGGGCGGATGTCAAAAGTCCATGGATTCAAGGCATCTCAACCAGATCCATGTTCACC